TCCGTATTGAGGTATGTTAGATCACAGGCAAACTTTTATTTGGGTGACACACTGTCACCAAACCACAGGTGGCTCCTTCAGGACTAAGAGAATTAATGATTGATGTTGTTAATATTTCTGGGCTAAGACATATGTGTGTTGTTTATGATCAAGTTTATATAATGCTGGTCCAAGGCAGACTTCATATCATGGACAGCTAGGGTATTTGGTTTACGATTAGAGGATTTTTGTCACACAGGACGTTTAAATAGAAAATACCAACACTAATTTTGAAGGTGCACTCGAGTTCACCACAGTCCCCATAGCGCTCATCTTCACTCAGCTAACTTTCCTATCTGGCCCTTCGATGCAATATAACTGAGTAGTTAAGCATGGACTCTGAAATCAGATTACCTGAGATTAAATTTCCACTCTTCCACTTACTAGATGTGAGATTTTGTAAAATTTACTCAGATTCTCCAGAACGATGTTTCTCCATCTTTCAAATGAGAATCATAACCGTGTCTACCTAGCTTTTGGTTTTGTTGACTGTTTCTTTGCTGTGCAAAAGTCCCGATAGTTCATTTTTGCCCTAGCTTCCCTTGCCTTTGGCGATGTTTCTAGGAAGAAGGTGCTGCAGCTGAGGTCGAAGAGGTCGCTGCCTGTGTTCTCCTTTAGGACTTTGATGGACTCCTGTCTTACATCGAGGTCTTTCAACCGTTTGGAGTCTATTTTTGTGTGTGGTGTAAGGAAATGGTCCAGTTTCAGTCTTCTGCATGTGGCTGTCCAATTTTCCCAACACCATTTGTTGAAGAGACTGTCTTTTTTCCACTGGACATTCTTTCCTGCTTTGTCAAAGATGAGTTGACCATAGAGTTGAGGGTCCATTTCTGAGCTCTCGATTCTGTTCCATTGATCTATGGGTCTGTTTTTGTGCCAGTATCATAGTGTCTTGATGATGACAGCTTTGTAATAGAGCTGGAAGTCCAGAATTGTGATGCCTCCAGCTTTGCTTTTCTTTTTCAACATTCCTCTGACTATTCGGGGTCTTTTCCGGTTCCATACAAATTTTAGGATTATTTGTTCCATTTCTTTGAAAAAAGTGGATGGTATTTTGACAGGGATTGCTTTAAATGTGTAGATTGCTCTAGGTAGAATTGACATCTTCACAATATTTGTTCTTTCAATCCACGAGCATGGAACATTTTTCCATTTCTTTGTGTCTTCCTCAATTTCTTTCATGAGTATTTTATAGTTTTCTGAGTACAGATTCTTTGCCTCTTTGGTTAGATTTATTCCTAGGTATCTTATGGTTTTGGGTGCAATTGTAAATGGGATCGACTCCTTAATTTCTCTTTCTTCTGTCTTGTTGGTGTATAGGAACGCCACTGATTTCTGTGCATTGATTTTATATCCTGCCACTTTACTGAATTCCTGTATGAGTTTTAGCAGTTTTGGGGTGGAGTCTTTAGGGTTTTCCACATAAAGTATCATATCATCTGAAAAACAGTGAGAGTTTGACTTCCTCTTTGCCAATTCGGATGCCTTTTATTTCTTTTTGTTGTCTGATCGCTGAGGCTAGGACTTCTAGCTCTGTGTTGAATAGCAGTGGTGATAGCAGACATCCCTGCTGTGTTCCTGACCTTAGGGGGAAAGCGCTCAGTTTTTCCCCATTGAGAATGATATTTGCTGTGTTTTTCATAGATGGGAGGGAGAGAGTATCTTAAGAGGAGTCCACACTGAGCATGGAGCCCAATACGGGGCTTAATCTCACCACCCTGAGATTATGACCTGAGCTGAAATCAAGAGTCGGATACTTAATCAACAGAGCCACCCGTGTGCCCCTACCTAGCAGATTTTTGATGAGGTTCAAATATATTAAAAATTTTAAAGCACCTTAGAACTATGTTCAACAAGTAGTACCTACTATTTAAGTGGAGACTTTTTAGTATTCAAGTAGGGGACCAAAGAGAGTGAGCTGTTTAGAGCAAATTTGGGATTATTTTGCATTTGTTCAATTTACATCAGAGATCTTGTTCATTTCAACTCTTCTAAGCATCCTGATGAAATTAATTTTAATTCATATCTCTGTAGCTTCTTTTTCACAGAAGCATCCGATTTTTAGTATTCATGTTGATCTTGTAGTGCCCTGATTTTTCTTCCTTATTCCCCCAACTGGTATATTTCAGATTTACTGTCCTGGTTCTGTTGCCACCGTTCTTATCGAACAGTCTGTGTCAGTTTTATGGTTCACTTCTGTATTTAGAGTGGGGTGCTATGATTCTCTGGTTAATGGAAACTGAAAAAATGAGATGTGTTAATAGTGATTTGCTTATATGTTTCCATGCTCCCCCCCAAAAAAAATTTTTAAGGCTAATTTAACTATTTGATTGGGCTATACAAGGAATCAAATGCATTGTGGAGATGAACAGTGATCTGATGATTCATTGTGAATCTTCATATAGCTCAGCTTTTAGTTTCTAGGTACAGGTTTTGTTCCAGAGACATCAGTAGACAGCTTGTTGGCTGCAGGGACTTTAAAATTTCCTTTCAATCCCTTCCCACCCTCATTCCCCAGGAAGTGCCCGCATACTTCATTCCTGTGATTCCTGAGAATCACTAGAGACCACAAGGTGTCACTAAGCTCTGAAGACAGGTCAGCTCCTACTTGTATGCTCTCGGCTCCATATCAATTTGCCTCTGCTGTGGTCAGGGTTTTCTTTCATTCCCTATGTTTTTTGTATGGTGTCTACTAATTGCACCTTTTTTCTTTTTCCTTTCTTATCGGTAAGCTGTAGTAAGTCAGTTACTGATGTTAACAGTTGCTGTCAGTATCTCAGAAGACCATAAGAAATGGGGCAAAGTTTTCTAATGAGGGCTTCCTAAGAACACGTTTGTTTAATGGCTCCATCTGCTGGAAAGAGTCTGAACTGCTTGTTTTTGTTATCAGATAAAATTGTCAGAGACAGGGAGCCTGGGTGGCTCAGTTGGTTAAGCGACTGCCTTCGGCTCAGGCCATGATCCTGGAGTCCGGGGATCGAGTCCCACATCGGGCTCCCTGCTCAGCAGGGAGTCTGCTTCTCCCTCTGACCCTCTTCCCTCTCGTGCTCTCTCTCTCTCATTCTCTCTCTCTCAAATAAATAAATAAATAAAATCTTTAAAAAAAAATTGTCAGAGACAAGCTAGAAAGTACCTAGATATAGCTGGACATTTTTCAGGGAAATTGCCCTAAAGATGAAACTATTGTTAGCAGCATTGTGAGGGACTGAAGAGAGGGATGTTCTAGATTTTCAGCATTGCAAAATGTCTTCTGTTAAAGTGAGGGCACCATTTGGAAGGATTGAGATCTTGAGAACTGGAATGGGGATATATAGGAAGATTCTAATCAAGCTAGGGACATGGAACCCTAAATTTTATTGAGTCTTTTTTGCCAGCAAATGGAGCCCTTCCACGCGCATCTGAGGAGGTTAGCCTTGCTTTGCTTGAAGCACCTGTAATTCCCTCCCTTAAGTAGATGGGTTCTAGGTTAAGTGAACAGAAGTCTAACCAATTCTATAAATAAGCGATCATGTTCCTTCAGTTAATTTCCTGACTTGAGCCATTTTACAGACCCAGAATCTCTTTAATTACAAGTGGGGGGCAAGTCTCTGAGAAAGAACTCTTTTAAACAGAAAAAAAAATTATATAGCTCATCTTTTCCCCACTCTTCCCTAAAAAGATCTATGACCATTAACATGGATGACTATGCATTGAGGAAAGAGAAATAATAAGACTTTTGAGGAGTTGCTGGGCAGTAGCTCTGAGTGGACACTAATTTCAGGAGACCCAAGCCGTCATTGTATTACACTGATCAGAGAAGGGGCAGAAGGAGGTCAAACGATGAATGAAGTTGTGGCTTGGGTCTGCCTCACAGGTCTGCCTGTTTTCTTCATCCATCAGAGACTTCTCCCTGGAAAGAGCCTACAGCTAGGCATACGGATGCCAGTAGCTTCTATCTCCTGAAGACTATAATCCAAGAACTCCTGGATATATATGTAAAAAAAAGAATGGATTTCCAAATTTGAGAGGAGAAAGAAAATAAGAAGGGAGGCAAGATGACCAAACAAATTATTCTGAGACCGCCAAGGAATCACTTGCTAGACTCTACCCTAGAATCACATGAGCGGGAAACACCACCACCCCATGCCCTTTAGCGAAGGAACGCAAACCAGAGTACCTGCACTGTCATCAGCTGGGTCTGAATTCCAAGACCTTTGTAGACCACTTGCAGTACAAAGTGTAAGGTATTTTTTTAAAAGATTTTATTTATTTGAGAGAGAGAGAAGGAGCGGGGGAGGCACAGAGGGAGAAGCAGACGCCCACTGAACAGAGAGCCTAATGTGGGGCTCATTCCCAGGACGCTGGGATCATGACCTGAGTCAAAGGCAGATGCTTAACAGACTGAGCCCCCCAGTGTTAGGTATTTTTGTTCTATCCCCTGTACACAGCAACTCCTTGGTGATTATTGTCCCTCAAAATATTCTGTGTTTTCAAGTAGTTTAGTCTGAAAATCAGGCTAATAGATATTCTTATAGTTTTATAAACACTACCGTGCTCATAAAATGAAACTTTTTTTTTTTTTGCTGGAATGTAGTGCCAACATGCCATAAGACAAATGCTTTACCCATCAGTTTTTATAACTGTCCAACTCAACATACACAGGTTGGTTTGTCGTGTTATGATATGATGTGCAAGAAAACTTGTAAGGATATGATCACTGGAAAGAGGTGAGCATAAACGTCACACAAAAAAATTGTCTCTGAAGCATTTAACCCTTCATATAAACTCCCTTGGCATTTATAGGATTCTCCTTCAATATCAGTCACCCACACAGAACAATTCTTCAGTTTTCCCCTGGCACTCAATGACCTGCCAACTGAGCCTCCATTGTCTGAGTCTCTGTGTCTTTTGTAGCCTATCTCCCCAGCCACTCATCAGTATTTTACTTCTGTGATCACTTAGAGGAAACTTAAAATAGTAAATAATCTTTCGAGTATTTATTATGTGCTAGACACTTTAAAAGGCACTAGAAATTCAAAAACAGATACCGAAACCTTATGTAATTTACAGTCACGGGAGGGTGGAGAACATTAATCAAATATTCACTCAAAGACTGACATATGTAAGACCCAAAATGTGGTAAGTGCTGGGGAGGGGACTCTAATGTTGGGAAATTCGACCTTGTCATGGAGCTCAAGGTCTGATATGTTAAATAAGCACTAGGAAATGTGCTCGCACCCCCACCCCACACACATTTAATCTGACCTTAAAAACTCAGCTTATATAGAGAGAATGTTTGAGGGCTCACTTGATGGAGAAGAGAGAAAAGAGAATTCCAGGTATAGGGAAAATGTCTGTAATGCAGTGTGGTAAAATTCTGTATGAGTTCTTGAAATTTAGTCTAATGCGGTTGTGGTGCTGGGAGTTTTGCTAAGTTTTGTGTAGACAGACACTGACTAAGTAAGCAAGGATTGGACCTGACAAGGGATTTCTAAGCTGTGTTATGGAGTTTGGTGTTATTTTAAGAAAGATGTTAAAGTATCTTTCAAAAGAAGGGTTGTATTTTTAGTATACATAGTTTTTAAATGTCACCTAGATTACATGTCAGAGAATAATTGAAATGGGTTAGGAATAGAACAGGAAGACCCTGTTATGGCAGTTATTTAACATTTTAATTCTTTGCTATTAAAATTGTGAAAGCGATGAAGAGAAGAGGTCAGATTTGAGAGATATTTAGTAAAAAAGGTGACAAGACTTGGTTTTGTGAGAGGCAGAGTGGAGAACAGCCCAGAAGTGTGGGCCAGAGAGAGGGTGGTGATGAGACAGCTGGTTTATAGGTTGTGTAATTTCTTGGGTGGCGTGCTATTGACTGAGAGGCCAAGTGCTAGAGGGTTGTTCCTTTTGTGAGGCAAGTTAATGAATTATTTTCACACGTTGAGCTTGAAATGCCTTTGAGATTTTAGATCTGATATGTTAAATAAGCACTAGGAAATGTGCTCGCACCCCCACCCCACACACACGGCCCTCTGGACTATGATATAGTCTGACATCAAACTTCGTGTGGCATCTTTCAGTCAGAGAAATGGAGACTGATGTTCTGCAGCGTGAATTAGAGCTGACAAATCCATTGATCATTTTGCTCACAGTTTTGTCTGGCTACCTTACTACGAGACACCTGGGCACATTTCTTGCTCCGGGTTATCCGTTTTTCCTCTATTGAAAACCTATAAGGAAAGAAAATGCTTATCTTTAAATCAGCATATGTCCAGAGACTGAAGAGGGCCTCAGAAAATACTTTCAAATTTTAAAAATAAAAATATGATCATGAAAACAACTTAAACAATACACAGTATGGTGAGTAAAGTGATTCTTCCCACCCTCAGTTTTATTTCTCAAGAGAACTTAATAGCTAATGATGATTAGTCAGAGATGTATATGGATGATGCTAAAAGGGCATCTCTGGTTTGCTCATTTAAAAATTATTGAAATGAGCAGAAATTTATATTTTATAAACTAAAATTGGGTTCTTATAAGAGATTTTACATTTGTCAATTTACCTCTAAAATAAGATGATCAAATAAAAAGACACTATTGGCAAGCTCTATTTCACACCTAAATCTTCTGAGTGGGTGGAGTGAGATTTTTTTTGTTTCTCAACTTTCCGAGTAGACCATTCTATACATATATTTATCAGATCATATGAGTTGGTCAGGAAATTTATACCTGTTTCCAACAACATCAGATGACTCTTTCTTGTCACACAATATGGGATTAAAACTGTAAGAAAGCTGAAATACAATAAACTCACAGATGGGAGTCGAAAGGGTTGTTGTCTACCCAGGTCCATGATTGCCCTCCAGGTGGAATAGTTAAGCCAATCCAGTAAAACACTGAAGTATTTAGGTACCGCCACAGAAAACTCTAAATAGAACAGGAAATGTTACAACAAACAACTGACTCATTCTAACAGATATAGATATATATAGATATAGATATAGATAGATACAGATAGATATAGCTATAGATATATATATATATATAGCGAAACTTGTATGTGCTTGGCCCTGAACTAGAAGCAGGGAATGGACAGGTAAGACATACACCACATTTTTCTTTTTTTCCCTTATTGTTAAAAGATTTTATTTATTTATTTATTTATTTATTTATTTATTTATTTGGGAGAGAGAGAGAGAGAGTATGAGCACAAGTTGGGGGGAGAGGTGGAGGGAGAGGGAGAAGGAGACTTCCCGCTGAGCAGGGACCCTGGGATCATGACCTGAGCCGAAGGCAGACGCTTAACCGACTGAGCCACCCAGACGCCCCTACTTCACGTTTTTCTAACAGATCAGAGCAGAGAGACAAATTACTGCAGTGCAACGTGGTGACAGTCAGGTGGAATTTTGTATGATTGCAGGAGATATTAAGACTGTGAAGTCAAATTTCCAAATTTGAGTCCCTGTCCTATGATTTACTACTGTGCATCTCTGCAGTTATTGAATGTTTTTACTGCTGTTTTCCCCAATCTCGGCAACTCATTTATTACAGTACCTATTTTAAAGTGTTACTATTGTTTTGCTATTAAATAATATTATTATATACTGCCTGGCACATAATAAATTCTCATTACATAAATGTTAGTGGTTATTGTAAAAATGAGTATGAAATAATATATAGAAGGAGGGGAATATACAGGGAAAATTAAAGAAAGAAAGCAATACTGAGCTGATGTGAGACATACTGTTCATAGTTTCTTAATATCTCTTTTTAATATCTCTTAATATCTTAATATCTTAATTTTCTTAATATCTCTTTTTCTATAGTAATATAACCCCAAGCGATATATATGGCCAGAAGTAATGAAGGCTACATTTTCCAGCTCCATTTTGGCTAAGTGACTGACCTAATTTCTGGCTAATGGATTAAAATGGAAATGATACTGAAATTCTAATCAGGCATTTAAAAAGTAGGGCTATAACTCTGGAAAACAGTATGGAGCCTCCTCAAAAAGTTGAACATAGAGCTAGCCTATGGCCCAGCAATACCCCAAAGATATAAACGTAGTGATCTGAAGGGGTACGTGCACCCCAATGTTTATAGCAGCAATGTCCACAATAACCAAACTATGGAAAGAGCCAAGATGTCCATCAACAGATGAGTGGATAAAGAAGATGTGATACACACACACACACACACACACACACACACACACACACACACACACACTAGAATATTATGCAGCCATCAAAAAAACCTGAAATCTTGCCGTTTGCAACGACGCGGCTGGAACTAGAGGGTATTATGCTAAGTGAAATAAGTCAATCAGAGAAAGACATGAATCATATGACCTCACTGATATGAGGAATTCTTAATCTCAGGAAACAAACTGAGGGTTGCTGGAGTGGTGGGGGGTGGGTGGGAGGGGGTGGCTGGGTGATAGACACTGGGGAGGGTATGTGCTATGGTGAGTGCTGTGAATTGTGTAAAACTGTTGAATCACAGATCTGTACCCCTGAAACAAATAATATATGTTCAAAAAAAAAAGAAGATAGTAGGAAGGGAAAAATGTAGGGGGGGAAATCAGAGGGGGAGAAGAACCATGAGAGACTATGGACTCTGAGAAACAAACTGATGATTTTAGAGGGGAGGGGCATGGGGGAATGGGCTAGCCGGGTGTTGGGTTTTAAGGAGGGCACCTATTGAATGGAGCACTGGTGTTGTATGCAAACAATGAATCATGGAACACTACATCAAAAACTAATGATGTAAGGTATGATGACTAACATAACATAATAAAATAAAATTAATAAAAGAAAGGTAGGGTTATATCCTTCTATTCATCATTTCCCTCTTTTCTGATGGCTAGAACGTGGACATGGTGGTGAAACAACCGGAAATAGATAGACACGGACAGTACCCTACTGATGAGACCAGAAATCCATAGCTGTATGGATCACCGTGTGAGTGACATGACCTATTGCATATATGAATAGACAGATTTTTCTCCTATTTTAATGCTTTGAAATTGGAAACATCAATCTATAGCTTGTAGCAGTTTAATTGGGAGCTTCTTTGTTTTTGCTTTTTAATTGTACTGATGCTTTTAAGTGTACTGTTACATCTTATAATTAAAAGTGTTTTAGATTCAATAAACAAAGTACACATTTACCTTGTATAAGCTACAGTGATTTTGGTTCTCCCTCACCTGCAGCCAAACTCATATGCTAAATATCATAACTGTTTGTAGGAACATAATAGTCATTAGGCATACGAGAGAGAATAGTGTTTTTCCATTGAGTTATCTTGGCACTATGGCCAGAAAAATCAGTTGACTAAATTTTGCAGGCCTTGATTCAGTTTCACTGATCTACATATCTCTCTTTTGCCAATTCTACACCATATTAATTAATTTTGCTTTATCGTAAGACTTGACATTTAGTAACGTACATCTTCCATTCTTCTGCTTGCTTTGGGTCTAGTTTGCTCTTTTTCTAGTCTTTTTTTTTTTTTTAAAGAGAAGCTTAGATGATTGATTTTACATTATCTTCTTTTCAAATGTAATCCCTCAGGGCTATAAGTTACCCTCTAAGCTCTGCTTAAGCTGAAACCTGTGAATTTTAGATTTAGAACATTAAAATGTTGTTTTCATTCAATTCATAATATAGTTTTAAAATTTTCTTCTGACCACTTCTTCTTTGACCTATACATTATTTAGAAGTGTGTTAATTTTCAAATATTTGAGAATTTTCCAAATATTACTTTGTTCCTAACTTCCGTTTAATTTTGTTATGGTCTGAGACATGTTTTGTATAATATCTTATCTGTATTTGTAATTTTTTAAAGTTTATTAGGTCTCCAAATATGGTCTGTCTTCATGAAAGTTCCAGGTGTATTGAAAAAAAGAACGTGTACTCTGCTTTTGTTGGATACAGTTTTCCATAAGATTAATTTGGTTGAATTGGTTGATAGTATTGTTCAGGTTATTTATTTATTTATTTATTTATTTATTGGACTTGTTTTACTCAAAGAGGAATGTTGACAACTCAAAGAGGAGTGTTGACAACTCCAATTGTAATTGTGAATTTCTCCATTTCTCTTTTTAGTTTTATCAGTGTTAACCTTATTGCATATACATATATAATTGACCCCCATTATGAGATTCAGGGGCTAGAGAGTGGAATATTATGGACTGAATTGTGTCTCTCCAAAATTCATATGTTGCAGGCTTAATCCCCGGTACTTCAAAATATAACCGCATTTGAAGTCAGGGCCCTTAAAGAGATCATTAAGCTAAAGGAGGGCTATTAGAATGGGTCTTAATTCAATCTGATTGGTGTCCTTATAAGAAAATTTGGACTCACAGAAAGACATAGATGCATGTACACAGAAGAAAGACCATGTGAGGAGGACACAGTAAAAAGGTAGTCAGCTGAAAGCCAAGGAGAGAGTCATCATGAGAAACAAAACCTGCCAATACCTTGATCTTGGACTTGCAGCCTTCAGAACCGCAAGAAATTAATCTCTGTTGCTTAAATCATTAAACTTGTGGTACTTTGTTATGGCAGCCCTGGCAAACTCATACAACCCCTTCATCATTGTGCAATAGTCCTCCTTGTTCTTGGGAGTGTCCTGTTTCTTTCTTTCTTTCTTTCTTTCTTTCTTT